AGATTTAAACAAGTAAAGTTGAGAATTATATAATCATAATTCTATATTGGCACTATTTTGTCATCAGTTTTCCTTACTGGATGTTATATAAATGTTGCAGCCAATAACCTTAATTAACCTTTTAGTTAACAGCCTAGACATTAACATGGCATGGTCACCCATAGAATACTATAATACATACATAATAGAGCGGGGGAGTGGGAGGAGCCCGCGTAGCCACTAAAATGTCACTAACACGTCAACTCACACGTATAAATGTCAACACGAGATGTGTTTTGACGTTACAATCGTTACCTAATTTCGCATGCAAATTATTTAGAAAATGCCAAATTGCACCCTATTTACAAATAAATATGTATAAAAATTTAATGATGATCTTGAACATTAATCAAATGTCTAAAATGTGTAAATTTACTCAGTCTGACAACACAGCAAATCGGGTTTGGCAACGCCAATCCTCTTATAAAATAAAGTTGACAGCCATTCCATTGTGTATTATAGTATTCTATGTGGTTACCCTATTACCTTCGTTCAAGAAGGTTTTCATTCCAGAAGGTCGCTGGTCTGTGCCTAGTTATGCGTTACGTGCTATAATATATAAATGTACGAAACCTGATCTTTAGGGTAGCCCAAGCGCCACCCCAGCCGCACCATAACCTACTGTCGCTGATATTACAAGATATTATGTGCAATCTTGTATTAGACGTATCAGCTAAATATCATTCAGGCCGCTAGTTGAACGGCACCGTTATGTAAAATGACTAGATTGTTAACGGACGGGCTAGTTATCTGCGACATATACGTTGCAAAATAGAGAACACAAAAGAAACTACAGTACCAAAAATATAGAGACGACAATAATAAACCAATTAGACTTCATTAATTTATTAAAAAGCTCAACATGGTTTTTGAAAGATCAAAACACGGAGCCCTTATCTCTAACCAGGTCTACAACAATTCCATTAAGCTATTATAGCAAAAAGCCAAATCAGTTTCTTATTGTGACCGCCGCATATAAATGCTTAGAACCCCTGTACTATCCAGTATCTGCCCGACGCTAATATACGCCCCATCGTTTCTGTCGCGACACAAAATGAAAACTTATCTTTACTCGTTTTATTCCAACTAGCGGAGGCAAATCCAACGTGACTTGAATTATAAGTTTGTAAAACGGAACTATGTAAAACACCCGTGGCTTGTTCCACATACAAGATAATTTTATAGCGTAGTTGGGCAAAATAAAAAGTGAAATAACCGCCTGAGTAAATTATACTGCTAAGCACTAGTGTTCAATAATATAAAATAATATTTTATGGCATAATTGTAGGAAATATACGTAACCCACAATCAGGGTTTTTTTAATACAATAAAGGTGACAAACGAGCACACAGTCCACCTGATGGTAAGTGGATGCTGTAGCCCATACACATTTCTATCTATCTACTTTTATCCCCGATTAAGAACCAAAACGCAAATGCGTTGTCACTCCTGAGGACTAAGATCGAAAGCCACGTTTCCAGTAAAAAAGGGTCTCCGGATCTTTACTCCCACCTTACGAAACACAGCAGTACGAAGCTGCAATTTTACGCTGGTATTCTGTGAAAACGTGGTCCTTCCCCGGTCGAGCCGACCCATTCGTGCTACAACCATAATATAGCTGCAGCGTGGCTCTACTGCGTTTAAAAGAAATTTTTAAATTAAGACTGGAAAACCTATTATTTGCAATTATTTATTTCGCGGATGGTATTATTTTTACCATTCCAAGCCAGCGCTTAACCAAAACGCCACCTGATGGTAAGTCGTGATGCAGCCTGACTTAACAAAAGCTTATTCACTCTTACCTTGTAGAAATCACATTGTAATCGGATGGAAAGACAAATGCTGGCAACTTAGTTGGCACGAGTATTAGTATTCCACTCCTTTGCTGTCGACTACAAATTTCGTTCACGGTGTGTTCTGGTACGTAGTACATAATAGTTCAAATAATTTATTTAACGATGATAGTTGTCAGGCGAAATAGTATCGTGGCCACGAGTGAGGAGCGGCGATATGCTTGATAGTTGTCAGGCGAAATAGTATCGTGGCCACAAGTGAGGAGCGTCGATATGCTTGATAGTTGTCAGGCGAAATAGCATCATGGCCACGAGTGAGGAGCGGCGATATGCTTGATAGTTGTCAGCCGAAATAGTATCGTGGCCACGAGTGAGGAGCGGCGATATGCTTGATAGTTGTCAGGCGAAATAGTATCGTGGCCACGACTGAGGAGCGGCGATATGCTTGATAGTTGTCAGGCGAAATAGTATCGGCCACGAGTGAGGAGCGGCGATATGCTTGATAGTTGTCAGGCGAAATAGTATCGTTGCCACGACTGAGGAGCGGCGATATGCTTGATAGTTGTCAGGCGAAATATTATCGTGGCCACGACTGAGAAACGGCGATATGCTTGATAGTTGTCAGGCGAAATAGTATCGTGGCCACGAGTGAGGAGCGGCGATATGCTCCTGTTTGGACTCCAATTTTATTTGCTATTTCTTTTTGAAATGAAATATACTCTTTTATTGGAAAATAAATCCATAATTCCCATGTATTTACTGGTGAACACAGACAGAATTTAATTGAAATTGCTTTAATTACATTGGAATGAAACTGTTTTTTCCATTAATGGACAAACGTACCTAAAATTATAGATTTTGAGGAAACTTTGCGTTCTTTGTGTATCGAGCTATAAAATGTGTCAATCGTGTTTTGGTCATCATAATTCACTAAGGAAAATCTTTAAATTTCATAATGGTTTTAAAAGAAGGTAAATTCTTAGTTTTTTAAAGCTCAAAAATCTACTTTTGGCGTTCATTTAACCTTAAGTATTATGTATGTAGTAAAGCTCAGTTTAAACTTCGCCATAACACTTATACAGCCGTGGTAACTCAGATGGTTAGCACTGGCTGTAATTTTACAGTACGCGAGCAAACCGGGTTCGATCCCCTACGGCACTAATGAAATAGCTAATTGTAATTTTAAGTGCTGATTTACCACTTGCTCAGCGGAGAAGGAAAACATCGTGAGGAAACCTGCATGTCTGAGTAATAGGAAAAAATATATATTTCGAAGACTTGAAGTTCGCCAACATGCATCGGGGCAGTGCGGAAGACACTTCCCTGCCATAAAACCCTCTCTGAAATGAGGGGAGGCCTGTGACCAGCGGTTGGACGTATATATATTATTTAAATTACATTTGAAAAACCAATTTACATATAAACGAAGTATTTAATTTATTAAATTATCTCAATTAAATTTGGCAATCGGAAATGACTCAGCTCTTGCTTACACGGTACTAAAATCACATATAGCACTGGTTTGCGGGCACTCCTTCGTCTGAGATGCTACATGAGTGCCGTGAGAATTCTCATCTTCCCCGTCATCATCTTATATGAAATTATACATAAAAATTAATTCCGAGCGATTTTGTTGTGATATGTAATATTTGATTTATTCTATTTATTATATGTAAGTAAGATATAACTTAAGATTTTTTGTAACGATCTACCATTTTAAATAGGATTGACCATTCACCATCGTTATATTGTGAAAAATAACGACAATTTAGTTTAACAATATTCAAGGACTAAAACATAGTAAAAGACAGTGTCGACACAAATAGCCATGTTTTAGTACAAAGAAAAACAATAAAATAATTCATTGTCCAAAGTGCACCAGAGCTGAATAAAAACTTAACAAATATAAACCATGTAGTCACAAAAACTAAACTGGTTTTTTGTCCAGGTGGCTTGTGCTAGTTTCATGATAATTAGATAGCCTATAAACACGTATTATAGAGGGTGACTAACGAGCACACAGTCCACCTGATGATTAGTGGATGCTGTGGCCCATAGACATCTACATTTATCCTCGATTAACAACCAAAAGGCAAATTCATTGCCACCCTTAAGGACTAAGATAGAAGATAGAATGCCTCGTTTCCAGTAAAAAGGATCTGCTATTCTCTACACTCACCATACGAAACACAGCAACATTGAGCTGCTATTTTACGCTGATATTCTGTGATAGCGTGGTCCTTCCCCGGTCGAGGCGACCAATTCGTACTACAACCATAATATCGCTGCGACATGGCTCTACGGCAGTTGCAGTTTTTCGTGGTAGAGCCATGCTGCACGTGTACGTGATAGATAAACTATAAATTTAACAGCAGTTAGGAATCAAAATGCAGAACAGATGCGTAAAAGGAAGCTGTGGTTCTCGTCGGTCACCATACTGGACAGAGCAGCATGAAGCTGTTATTTCATGCTGTTATTGTGCACTCGCCACGTGCAACTTAGAACTTTCAAAGGTTCTTTGGGTCTCTGTCATACAGATTTAACGCTCATCTTCTCCCAAGCTTGGACAGGGCGAATTGTTGCTTTCCTCTACCGCAACTCAAATTTTATATTAATTCAAAAGCACAGTTCTAATGAAATTAAAGTTGACTACCGTTACGTAGGTATGTATGAACATCCACTACTCCATATCATCCCGTGGGTGCTGTAAGAGGCGACAGAGGGAAACAAATAGGAGAGTTTTTTTATAGAAGGATGACAAACGAGCACACAGTCCACCTGATGGTAAGTGGTTGCTGTGGCCCATAGACATCTACATCTATCCTCGATTACGAATCAAAATGCAGATGCGTTGTCACCCCTGAGGACTAAGATGAAATGACTCCTTTCCAGTAAAAAGGGTATCCGGTTCTCTACACTCACATTACGAAACACAGCGGCGTTAAGCTGCTATTTTACGCTAGTATTCTGTGACAGCGTGGTCCTTTCCCGGTCGACCCATTCACGTTACAATTATAATATAGCTGCAACGTGGCTCTACCACGTATATGCAGCGTGGCTTTACAAAACAACGAATATTTCCTATCCATAGATGACCCTAAATTTTATATTTCTTTGCAGGTCGTGGCCCGGCGCTCGGACCTTAAGTTAATAGTGACGTCAGCAACCATGGACTCGAGCAAGTTCTCCACGTTCTTCGGAAACGTGCCCACATTCACCATTCCGGGACGCACCTTTCCCGTAGAGACTTTCTTCTCTAAGAACGTCTGCGAGGATTACGTCGATGGAGCCGTGAAACAGGTGAGTGAATTATAAAATGTAAATTAAAATATATATAATTTTAAATAGCGGCTGATTAATTGCCCCATATCCCTTTTATAAATGTAAGGTGGCTTGTGTCCAGCTTTTTGGAACGTGTAAATGCTGTTTTCCCCATTTCCGGTAGTTGGTTTGCTAATGGACATTTTACAATATGTGCTGAATTAATGTACTGAATGTAAAAATGATAAAGTACTTTGGCAAAAGCCAATGATCACAAGTCATCAGCATAACCTTATGTCAATGCGAAGGTCTGCCATCTTATACAATAGTTGGTCCACCGCGAGTCTAAAGAAGGAGTGACACAAACTTTTTGGACAGCTTTTTGTAGTTTCCACCTCAATCGAAGTTTGAAACAGCGCTATTTTTGCCTTTCTGTTTGAGAGCATCGACTTTACCCAACTGATGGTTATGTGGTCAACATTTTTATATGTCAGGCCCCCAATCAGCAGTAATGTTGATGATGATGATGATGATGCTACTGTCAAAGGCGGCCTTAATATCTAGAAAGCCACAAACAGCTATTTCTTTATCCTCCAGCGCTTTTACGACCCTGTCAATATCACTGATCAAGGCTGTTTCAGTAGATCTGGTTGTAATGTATGAGCCTCGTAGCTGGAGCTACATCCTTTATATATCTATCTATAACCTTTTCCAATGTCTTAAGAAGAAAGGAAGATAGGCTTATAGGTCTAAAGGACTTTGGTATAGCGTAGTCCTTTCTACCCAAACTTTACCGCTGGTCACCCAATGTATTAAGGCGAGGTCGATGTTGTGTGAAAGCAAACCACCACCACGGCAGAAGCAGCTACTGCATGGTGAGGATTTGCCTGGAGGACGCTCGTCCTACCCTAGGGGTTAGCCAGTTATAGGCGTGAGGGGGGCAGTGATGATGATGATGAAATATAATACTCGTATGTTAAATATTCGCTAAGATACAAATATTGTTTCGTTAATAATCACTGCTTCTATTACAAAGTGGGTTAACCGGAATACGGCTTAGTACTTGATAAAGATGCGTAGGCTGATCACACCCACGTACCGACGGGAACCGGTCGCCATTGTCAACGACCCTTGGGTTTATATGAAAAATCTTCGGCGATACGATTGCCGTTTCACTTCCTTCTACCAAACCAGTTAAATTCACGGTGAAAGTGTCCTCGTCTATTAAATGTAACCTTTTTATTTGTGGAATAGCTAACTATAGATATTAAACTTTTAATAAAAATAAAACGTTACCGTGTAGTGGTCATGTAAGAATATCCACTGCCCATATCATCCCGTGACTGTCGTAAGAGGCGACAGAGGGAGACTAATCAGGAGATGGGCAGCGTCTTCTTAATAATGACTAAAAATAAAAAACCTACTAACTGCTCTTGCCAAGCGTAGCTACTAAGGTGCTACTAAGACAAATAATATCCCCCCTACGAGGCGATATGGGGGAGGCCTGTGTTCAGCAGTGGACTTTAATAATAGCTTCAGAAGTTAGTGTATCGAAGAATAACGACTTTTCAGTTTTTGGCGTCGGTTTTAGTTTTTATTAAAAGATAAATTATTTTACCCTTTTATGTTATTTATGATATGGGTACCATATGGACTGAGGAATATCAAAATCCCGTGTAGTAGCGGTGTAAGGATATCCACTACCTCATATCGCCCCGTGGGTGTCGTAAGAGACGACAGAGGGGAACGACCAGGAGATGAGTAGCAGCGTCTTCCTAAAAACAACTCAAAATTGTAAACAACTGCATTTGCCAACCCGCTTTCCATGCGTGCCAACTATCACAATATTCCCTCTAAGGCAATATCTGTAATATAAATAAATAAACAAATCATTAACAAGATTTTATAGTAAGCCATTTAAGACGTAGTGAGAGAAATGATCATACTTACAAAGACTAAAAATTTATCTGATGCAATTGTTGACAAGGCGCTCTAGCTTGTTGAGAAGATTTTAGTTTAAATCTGGATAGCATGAGGCATGTGTGAGATATTAAAAATATATATTTCGAATGCATGGGAAGTCCGCAAACACGGATAACGGCAGCAAGATGGATTCTTCCCTGCTATAAAAAATCACCTCAAAAGTCTTAATAGGCTTATTCCCAGCTAACTTACAGCGAACTAATCTTTTGAATGACTGCATTGATTGTGATGAAATTTTACGAACGGATAGAGAGGAATACAAATGGATCTAGAGTCTAGACTATTTGTATCCGGAATATTTAAAGATTATATAAAGTAAAAGTGAAAAATTAATAAAATGAATGTTTATTAGTAACGCCACATTAATAGATCGGGTCGAGTCGCTAATCTATACAAATAAATAAAATTGAAGTGTTTGTTTTTAATTACAAAGTAAAAGTGATGATGAGTATGAAAATATACTAATAGTAGGTACTTATAACAAAAGTACAATTTTAAAAAAATGTCTGTCTGTCTGTTTGTTCCGGCTAATCTCCGAAATGACTGGACAGACTCTCACTGAACTTTCGCTGACAGATAGCGGGTCCGCCAAATAACTTTTTTTTTAAAAATGCTATTAAAAAAAACTACTAAATATTTTTTCAAATTTCTTTTTTTATTTGAAAGTACAATCCTTCCGGTTAATGATGGAAAATAATTTCATTCAAATGGCTGCCTCGGCTGGCCATGCAGTAGCCTACACGATCGGTCCAATTTTTGATTACATTATCGATTTGTGTGCAGCTGTATTTCACCAATGGCTTCACGAATATTGTCCTTTAAAGCGTCAATTGTCTCTGGCTTGTCGGCGTAACACTTATCTTTGACGGCACCCCACAAATAATAGTCCAACGGTGTCAAATCGCAGCTCCGAGGTGGCCAAACGACATCAGCTCTGCGGCTGATAATGCGATTTTCAAAAACAGGGCGCAAAACATCAAGTGTAGCGTCGGCTGTGTGGCACGTTGCGCCGTCCTGTTGAAACCAAATGTTGCCAATATCCTCCTCTTCAATTTCTGTGAACAAAAATTCGTTCAACATGGCCCGATAACGATCGCCATTGACTGTAACGGCCACACCTTGCTCATTTTCGAAGAAAAATGGCCCAATTATGCCTCTGGACCAAAATCCGCACCAAACAGTGACTCGTTTTGGGTGCACCGGCTTTTCGATGAATGCGTGCGGGTTTTCTGTGCCCCAAATGCGACAATTCTGCTTGTTTACATACCCGCCAAGTTCGAAATGAGCTTCATCTGAAAAGATGATTTTTTTGGCAAAATCCGCATCTTCTGCAAGTCGATCGCAGGCCCACTTAGCGAAGCGAAAACGCATTGGATGGTCAGTTGGCTTCAACTCCTGAACCAATTGGATTTTGTACGGCGTCATACCAAGGTCTTTACGCAAAATTCGTCTCAATGATGTCTCCGAAATGTCCAATTGTTGAGAACGACGGTGAACTGATGTTGATGGCGTTTCACGCACACTTTCGGCCACAGCAGCAATATTCTCGGGTGTACGCACTGTTTTTGGCTTTTCACGCGTTGGTTTATCGATGAGGATGCCAGTTTCTTTCACTTTTTTCACAAGGTAACGAACATACGGAGCTGACGGTGCTTCATTTCTTCCAAAATCCGTACGCAATTTTCGCACACATTCTGCAACATTACCATGATTTTCAAAGTAATGTCGCAATATTTCCCAGCGTTGTTCAAGCGTATACACAACCATATTCGTTCAGCGGAAGGATAAAACTAATTATCTGTCAAATTAGACATGAGCTAAGTGTTGCCATTCACGAAATAAGCACTAGTTGAAAAAAAAGTTAGATGGCGGACCCTATAGTTGATAATATATTAAGTAGTAACTTAGGCTACTTTTATTTCAGAAAAAGAAATAGATTTCCGTGCAAAGAAACCAAAGCGCTATATTACACGCGGGTGAAGTCGCGGGGAACAGCTAGTCTCTATATATATAAATATCAATTTCTGTCCATTAGTCTCGCTAAAACTCGAAACTGGCTCGAGCGATTCTGATGATTTCATCCAATATTTTGGTGTGTATTTTAGTGGGTCCCAGCATGTTTTAAATTTACAATTGGACCCAGTAGGTCCAATAGGTAGGGTCCAATTGTAAATTTAAAACATTTAAATTTACAATTGGACCCAGTAGGTCCAATAGGTAGGGTCCAATTGTAAATTTAAAACATTTAAATTTACAATTGGACCCAGTAGGTGCGCTGTTTTCGCGATCCGGAAATCATCCATGCAAAGCCGGGGAGGAATGTTAGGTAATTATAAAATAGAGAATGAAAATATTTTCAATATCACGTGTAAATATCAAAAATTATAAATGTAGATAATATCAACAATTATGATATTATAAATGGCATCACTTAATGAGTCGTTAGGTACAAGACTCATTTGCTAACAAAAAAATTTTGTTAAGAGACATTTTATTAATAGACTGTATTCATAAGGGAAAGCATCGAGAGTAAAAGCAGGAAGTTAGAAGCGTAGGGTTCCATACTTCATGCCCGCTTACTTTCCACGATAGCCTCATTTACCTCATGCGTCGACGGAAACTAAATAAATCTATTTGTGTACATTTCATTGTTCAATTTGAAATAGGATAATATTTTTAACTGACTTCTAAAAGGAAAAGGTTTTCAATTCGAATGTATGTATTTTTTTTGTATGTATGTTACGCGACATCTTCGCAGATTGTGAACCGATTTTAATTATTCTTTTTTTACTAAATAGGCTTTACTTAGAGGTTGGTCCTATAAAATTTGAAAAGTGGAGAATAAAGTAAACAGTTTCATATATATTACAGCATTAATTTTGACATAAATATATGGTAAAGTTAAGGCTTAATGTTAAGTACTATGTTAGACGAAAACACGATTCAGTAAAATTTTCTTGATAGAAAAAAATCCAAAGTTACCTCCAAACTGAACAATAAACTGCTGCTATTCTTAAAATACTTTAAATTAGATCAAAACTTTGCATATTATCTAA